TAACGTTATGGGAACGTTATGATAACTTTCTGTGTTTGCTGGCACCATAGCTCGGTTTTTATGAACTGGCCGTGCTGATGACCACAGGTCATGGAGGTGATAGCCCCAGTCGGCCCCAGGGTCACTCTGATCCAAGATGAATGAACGGTCGGCCACTGCAAAGCTATCTCGCGCCTGTCTTTTAACATAAAAATATGGCCAGTGTTTCATTTTGATACCGCTTATAACTTCATTATAATGCATTTCTGTTGTGGATTGTACTGAACTGAAGTTAATCAAAATCACAGTCTAAACTTCAGACCTTGACATTATCAGATTAGCAATTGTTAATAAACTCAATTGTTAACTGAAGCAACAGCATATGTTAACTGCCAGTAAAGCAAGAAATTGTTATATCACTTCAGTGATGCAACAGTGCCAAGGCTCGCTGCAGTAAACAAATCAATAAAATCAATCCTTGAGATTCGCCATTTCTCTTCTGGCCTTTGCCCCCTCGCGCGTGACCTGTTGCGTCATTTTTTACAAGCCAGCGAGTTACTTTTAATTTGGACAAACAGTTTGCACGTTTTCAATGCCCGCTGTGGCGTTTGTTTCTGTTTTTCGGTTGGGCAGTTACTTGCTGCAGAATTCAGGGGAATATTGGTATTGTTATATATGTGTGTTCATAGGCTTTATGGATTATATATTTCATTTCTTAAAATGATTTCTATTTAAAATAAACATTTGTAACAACGCACAGTCCTGTGTAAAATACTTTACAATAAAATAGAAGTATCCATATTGGATTGAAAGCGTGCCACCTAGAATTAATGTTAGTATACGTTCGTGTGTGTGTGTGTGTGTGTGTGTGTAAATTTTTTTAATTTCTAAAATCTGAAGGAGATTTTTATAAAATAAACGCGCGGAGAACACAACAAAACTTTTTATCACAGGGGGTCGCTAATTGTACATGTCTACAACATCCCGGATCCCTATCTCCCTTCATTTCCCAAATCAAAATTATGTCCCAAGTCAGGCACCTGTCCCATTCTAAATTGGAAACTTATTCGCCCCCTATCTGCGATATTCTAAATAAAGTCTACCAGTGTTAGTTCTTACTCTAATGTCCTCTACTGCTCATAATATCCAGTGAGCATATACGCTAGAGTACGGCTATAACGACCATAAAACGATGAAAACATCAATGCACAATTTTCACCAGATTCAGCTGACAGTATATACATGTATTGTGCTCTGATTGTCTGACCAGTGGCTTATGCACTCTTTATACCACTCATCTCATCCAAAATGACATGTTTATTCATCAGTAAACAAACTATTTACGGATGTACAGTCTGGCAGGGCTATCGAGTTTTTCAAAGGTCATGAAATCAAAGGATCGACAATATTCTGTCAAATCAGGAGTAAATGTCATGTTTATATTTCCAGTTTTATTCACATTATTGTGGCCAGGTGTGAGTGCGTGTAACAGTGGTCAAAAGTGATCCTATCAGTTATGCTCGTATTACTGGCTTAAAAATAAATCTTATGAATTAAATTAATTATGGTTATTAAATTTTACGCTTGGTGTTGTGAATGTTAATCTAATTTTAGTTAACAAAAGAATTGTAATCCTGACGCCATCGCAAGAGAAATGTTTCTTTACAGTACAATAAACAAATGTTTCAGGGTTTAACGCCCATTTATTCTTTGGGTGAAAAATAATAAACACCTCTGAAGTGTTAAGGTTGTGTTATTAGCATGCAGCCAAGCATAAGATAAGGAAACTTTCCCCTAAACCTATCGAGGTTTGCTACGATTCATAATGCCAATCATATTGCGTCCTTACAAACGGGAAAACTTTCATGCGAGTGCAATATGAATTTTGAAGTGCACTTTAATTGTTACGCCTTTATCAGAGGTGCATTTATTACATCGTTTTTCATACTTCAGTGTATTTTTTTTCTTTTTTTTATTTATGGTTAAAATCAAGTGTATAAATCTTCACGAATGCCTGCCTGCAATGATTTAAAGTTTGATGCAAGAGTAAATAAATAAATAAATAAATAAATAATAAAAAACGAAAATAAAGAATATCAACATTTTTTATTCTTATATATATGTATGTGTATGGGCTTTGGAATTTCAAAACTACTAGAAAAAAGTTCGTTTTAAGCCGTATCAGAAGCAAAGGTAGGTTATCAGTTTTAAATAGGAAATTTATAAAATAATTTCACAATTACAGAATGATTAAAAAATTGCATCTTTGTTAAGGAGACAATTTGCGCATTATTTCTAGAGTTGACAAGTTTGAATGCCACCTAAAAATATCTTTGAGAAGATTCTTTTGATCAATCTCTTTGAATGCGTGCTGCCTCCTTCGGTTTTCACACATTTAGACAAAAATTGGTCCTTTTCATGTAAATAAGCAGTATCCTTACCCAGGTGGGCTAATGCAAGACGGCACAATCTTTGCAACCATTAGAAAACAGTGAAGAAACCGTGGCATAAAACTGTATCATAAAAATATCCATGTACCAAATATTGAGCTCCTAGGTTGTTAATTTATTTTCATCATACAAATAAATTCAAACGGAGCGTGTTTAAAACTCTGCACATCATGTCCTTGTATTAATGTACATTATTGATGATTTAGTCCAACTTTTGAAATAATATAAGTANAAGAGAAATGTTTCTTTACAGTACAATAAACAAATGTTTCAGGGTTTAACGCCCATTTATTCTTTGGGTGAAAAATAATAAACACCTCTGAAGTGTTAAGGTTGTGTTATTAGCATGCAGCCAAGCATAAGATAAGGAAACTTTCCCCTAAACCTATCGAGGTTTGCTACGATTCATAATGCCAATCATATTGCGTCCTTACAAACGGGAAAACTTTCATGCGAGTGCAATATGAATTTTGAAGTGCACTTTAATTGTTACGCCTTTATCAGAGGTGCATTTATTACATCGTTTTTCATACTTCAGTGTATTTTTTTTCTTTTTTTTATTTATGGTTAAAATCAAGTGTATAAATCTTCACGAATGCCTGCCTGCAATGATTTAAAGTTTGATGCAAGAGTAAATAAATAAATAAATAAATAAATAATAAAAAACGAAAATAAAGAATATCAACATTTTTTATTCTTATATATATGTATGTGTATGGGCTTTGGAATTTCAAAACTACTAGAAAAAAGTTCGTTTTAAGCCGTATCAGAAGCAAAGGTAGGTTATCAGTTTTAAATAGGAAATTTATAAAATAATTTCACAATTACAGAATGATTAAAAAATTGCATCTTTGTTAAGGAGACAATTTGCGCATTATTTCTAGAGTTGACAAGTTTGAATGCCACCTAAAAATATCTTTGAGAAGATTCTTTTGATCAATCTCTTTGAATGCGTGCTGCCTCCTTCGGTTTTCACACATTTAGACAAAAATTGGTCCTTTTCATGTAAATAAGCAGTATCCTTACCCAGGTGGGCTAATGCAAGACGGCACAATCTTTGCAACCATTAGAAAACAGTGAAGAAACCGTGGCATAAAACTGTATCATAAAAATATCCATGTACCAAATATTGAGCTCCTAGGTTGTTAATTTATTTTCATCATACAAATAAATTCAAACGGAGCGTGTTTAAAACTCTGCACATCATGTCCTTGTATTAATGTACATTATTGATGATTTAGTCCAACTTTTGAAATAATATAAGTAAGTTGCGCCATTAAAACGTAACAAGTTGTATCCTCTGCGTTACCACACAGAATAAAATTGGAGTCATTTGACTCTCTAGTCAGAGTCCAGCACCCCTTGACCCTCATGGAGTTAATTTGATTCCTATATAAGGGTCAAATTACCCCACTACCAGAGTCTTTAGACTCTCTTATCAGAGTCAATCACCCCCTGGCTCTCATGGAGTAAATCTGGCTCTAAAATCAGAGTCAAATTACCGGAGGCCAGAGTCTGGCTGACCCCTTTCACAGACTCTTTTCGCTCGCTGGACAGTTTTCATCATCCTTTGTCAGTATAAACATTACTTTATTGGCCATAGTTGGTTTTATGATGAACAAGTGGTTTTCTGTGTGTTTCTGCATGCAGAACTCGTGCACTTATTACTGGCCCGGGCTTTCAGTTGCCCACACCCTTTAAGTGATATGTTGGTATACAGGTTAGAGTGCCCGCCTCCTGAGCGGGAGGACATGGGTTCAAGCCCCACCGGGGACATACCGGTCTCTAATAAACGGCACCTGCTGTCTCCCCGCTTGGCACTGTTGTTGCAGCTGTTTCGTTTTTCAATCAGCCAAGGAGTCAAAAATTCCTTAATATGGGGTCATGGTGACTCTTTTGCAGAGATAAATCAAGGGATGAAGGGATATGTGAATGGAGTCAATTGTGACCCTCCTGTGGGGTCTGGGATGGTGTTACTCCATCGGAGTCAACTTGACTCCAATTGGGAGTTATTTTAGGCACCGCTGCTGGACTCCAAGTTTAGAGTCACTTGGACTCCGATTTTATTCTCAGTCCACTGAATGTGCAGTGTGATACGTGAAGAGAACATGAAATATTACAATATGTTTTTATAATCCTACATATGAAGCTATTTACTCGCAGTGTGTAGTGCAGAAATCTTATTATAAAAAAGTGAATACAATCATGATTTATGATATTTTTGACATAAAACGTTATTTCAGAATTCAAACACGTACGTCTAACAAGAAGGTGTCAAGTTATAAGTAGGCATGCAAATCGATACGTTTTAAAATTCTCTTTACTAATAGTAATTATGTCAACTAAAAAAACTCGAATTTCTAATGCTTTAAAATATTTGGGTTTTTTTCACGACTCGTCTCTCATGACTTATTATAATCATAGCCTTGTCTCCACATTATGTCGGCCGTCAAGGCACCATCACTAACGGGCTCCAGATTTTGATCTGCATCCAGATCGCCTTGGATATCCAAAATGGTTGTTGCCGGGCGTATCTGACACAAGCAATCCAATCGCCAGCTGAGATGCCGTCTACAATTCTGTTTTAACTTTTCCCGCCTTCTTGGCTTCTGCGGCCTTTTTCGAGTGGAAATGATCGTGATCGTCGTCATGATGATCCGGTACACCGTCGCCATCGTCGTCATGATCTAAGTGATCCGGTATGCCGTCTCCATCAGCGTCTGCGTGATCTACAGAAAAAGATAAAGGGCAAGGGATCTGTTTTGGTGTCTCTTCAAGTATTAAATATTACGTATTTATGAAAGTAAGAAGCTGATGTTTAAGCTCTTCTTTTGCAATACAATACTCACCATTTTTCAGATATGAATTAATTTTCCACAGACAAAGTACCGAGATTGATCAATTTGATTAAAAAATTTGATTTGAAACCTACCGGCTCCATATTCATGGTGATCTTCATCATGGTGATCCGGTATGCCGTCATTGTCATCGTCGTGGTCCAAATGATCCGGGATGCCGTCACCGTCGCTATCTTTATGACCTAAATGAGGAATAACAACTTCTGATTCATTTCCCATAATCAAATACAAAGGTTGTAATTACGTGAACATTTATTAGCAACACTTGCTATTTAATTGCTTTTTCTTTACTCGGCACGATGTTGTGATAGATTCCGTTTTGTAAAAACGAGTTGACATTTGTCGAATTTTTTTCTTTGAGTCAGCCTATAAAGTAGTGTAGTAGTTGAGACAAGCTGCAGTGGACGTGATTGTGCTGTAAGGATATCAATCACATCAAATGTTGTGCCTTGTACTTGTACAGTTACATGCAATTCAATGCTCTATTCATTGTGTCAAAAGTTGCGAAAATGAGAACCGTCAAGAGGGAAATAGCTGTTTTTAATGAATTGGCTAACCTATTCACATGCCTTAATTTTTAATCCACTCAATAGTGCCAAAAAGAAAATAATACTCAAGAGTCATATCTGAAAATCCTTTAATGACCCACCTTTTCCATATTCATGATGATCGTCATCGTGATGGTCCGGTATACCATCTCCATCATCATCATGATCTAGGTGATCTGGTATTCCGTCTCCATCCGTGTCTTTGTGACCTACAGGGAAAAAATAACATAGTACAGTGTTCTAAATGATACATACCATAAAAATACCGACAATAATTTTGTGAAAGTCAAATACACACGAGCACGCATGTACACAAATAAACTAAAACAACGAAGAGTCCATGTACATGTATATTAACATTAGTGGCTTGAGAACGTCTGAGACAATATTATAAAATTCGTAGTGTCGTTTTGGTGAAGGAGAACGTGAAATGTAGCTCACATAGGTACATGTTTGTGTCAGACGTAACTTACCATGCCAGTCATGGTGGTCGTCATCATGGTGATCCGGTATGCCGTCATTATCATCATCGTGATCCAGATGATCCGGTATTCCGTCACCGTCAGTGTCGACGAGGTCTACGAAATATTTACTCTCGATGAATGCAAATGAAGTTTACAGTGATTTAGCTTGACTATAAGCAAGGGCAATATAATAATACTTTGTAATATACGTTGTAATAACGTAAGGTGTCAATGTACATGTATGCTGGGTAACTGCTATCATACTACTAACCTGCTTTGCCCTGGGTTGCAGATTTTCTCTTATGGAAATGGCCATGATCGTCGTCATGGTGATCTGGCACGCCGTCACCGTCGTCATCGTGGTCCAAATGATCCGGTATGCCGTCCCCATCCGAGTCTTTGTGATCTACTCGAAAAATCCAAATAAAACATATTATCAGATTTAATTTTATTACTTAAAGGAAAAAAATTGCATAAATGACAACTTGTACAGTAGCTTTAAACCATAAATAAATACCTTTAGGTCGTTTTGAAATATGGGAATGTTTAACCTCATGGCATCATTGGATATAAACTATTTAAAATGTGCTATCTGGGCCTTAATGTAGGGGTTGTGTATGAGACACGTAAGCGCGTTCACCTTTTCCATATTCATGGTGATCTTCGTCGTGATGATCCGGAATGCCATCCCCATCATCGTCATGGTCCAGGTGATCTGGTATACCATCTCCATCCGTGTCCACGTGGTCTTTTGAGAGGAGAAAATTAGGAGAAAATGAAATAAAGGTAAAGAAGCTAAATTAAGAGAAATACTAACTACGCATTTGCATTCACACAAACGCTGTCTCGAACTGAAAGAAATAAGCAAAAATAATAATAAGATACTTTCTAAAAACACCAACAATTGCGATATGACGTGTTATAGAATTCTATGAATACACAGCATACACGACAGAAAACAAAATCGTTTCAAATTAAAATAATTGCTAACTTATAATGAACATGTTGCTACAAACGATGCATTGCTAACGTTATAAAGTCTAACTCTTTTTCTCAAATGACTGTACAGCTATGAATTCAAAACCAAAGGGTCGCCGTCTCATTACCTTTTCCGAATTCATGGTGATCCTCGTCATGGTGGTCCGGTATACCGTCTCCGTCATCGTCATGATCCAAATGATCCGGTATGCCGTCTCCATCTGTGTCCTTGTGACCTAAAATCCAGCATGAATATTACATGGCGTAATCCTTGGGTTGGCGACTAAGATATTGTCAGATAGAAGTCATCAATATTTTTCATCATTTCTGATTTAAAAAAAATTGTTGTCACAAACCGTTTATTACCTACTTGTACATGCATTTAATATATTCGGTTACTGTTTTATATTTATGAAAGTTTGGGTATAAAGGTATTATATCTATGCAAAACTTAAAAAGAGACATGTTACCTGGTTGATGGGTTGTAAGTAAGCATAGCTATATAGGGAGGCTATTTGTGTTAAGATAAGAGTATCAGACTTGTAACCTGGTTGACGGTTTCATTGCAGTGATTAAAAATGTCATGAAAAGTTAGCGGTGCATAGAAGCAACCATATTTACCGTGCCAGTCGTGATGATCTTCGTCATGATGGTCCAGGATTCCATCTCCATCATCGTCATTGTCATGGTGATCTGGTATTCCATCATTGTCGTCGTCATGGTCCAAGTGATCCGGTACGCCGTCCCCATCCGAGTCTATGTGCTGGTGATCCTGGATTCCATCGCCGTCATCGTCGTGATCAATTGCATCCGGTATGCCGTCGCCATCTTTGTCTGTTTGGAACTGTGTGTACAAATGCATTGCTGTCATTCATATATATATTCACAGATGTTTATGGTATCTTTGATCATCTTTTTATACTGCATACAGGTCCTTCGTTATTTCGTGGGTTGATAATTTTGTTATTTCGTAAAATATAGTGTTTCATCATGGACAGGTAGAAAAAATGATTTAGAGTCTCACGGAGGGATGCTTTATGTACGCGGTAGTAAAGAATTCCGAAATTTTTTTCAATTTTTCAAATGAATTTTTGGAAGAGTAGACACTAAAATAAATTCCGCCCGGTTTTCGTCATATCCTTCATCTGGCAGAAGATTGTTTGAAGCTGCTATTTGTAAGCTTATAAGGACACGCAACACCTACCTCGTGAAGATATGTCGCTAACTTTTCTTTCGTTTTCTCCCCCGTGTAAAGAATCTTCTTCCCCTGCCAGTAAACAACGATGGCACCCCATTTGCCGAGTCCTGAAGCAGATTGCATACATAAAACACAGGGAAAATAGTAGGGCCCATAGCAGCCTGTGAACATCTATCGCTTTGTTCGTGTATATGTAAGTGGTGAGCGTTTTTAGTGGGTGGTGAGTGTTTGTGTCAGTACAAGGAATCGGATATCAGAGAGAGAGAGAGAGAGAGAGAGAGAGGTGGTTACCCTGTTTCTGAGCGATGCTGACGTCGTCCACTATTGCTGCATTTATGTGTTCTGTTAATATTGGAAGCGTTTCCTGAAAAAAATTCAGAAAACACCTTTAGGGTACGCTTAAATCGCTGCAATCTGAGATAAAAGCATCAAACCAATAATGTAAAAACATGATTTATATCTATAAACGCGACACACCCTCTGCACAGGTTGGAAATCGTCACTAAATAAGCTTGAACAAATTATGCTTTATATCCATTTTGATGAATCTGGAGATAAAGTAACTTACGTTTTATGATATTTTGAATGTATCGTTTTAAAGCATGTGTCCAATCCTATTTTAAGCCAGAGGTTGAGAGGGGGGGGGTAAGAGAAGGTCATTTCTACCTGTTGGAGACGTCACACCCAATTAACGGGTATAAAGAGAGTCCGCCGGCTGGTTATTTACGCCACGGTATACTTCTTGAATGTGACAATAAAGATGTGCCTCGCTTCTGCCAGCTGATCCCCAAGTGACATACTGCGCAATATTCCTTTCGAAATTTGTAGTAAGTACCAGTATGTGGTGAATATGGACTTGTGTAACAGGGCACTATGTCTTTGTGACGTGTTCATCCCTGACGTGTTGCCGTGATCACGCTCTGTCGCGTGTGACCGAGTAAAATGCGCTCGTTGGACTTTGGTTTGATCCCAGGCATTGGAGCATAGGAAGGTGAGGACAATACAGTCTATGTTTTAAAAACACACACGGTGAAATTAGTAAAACCCTGCTCTCTTCTGCCAAAACACTTTTTTTTGGAAAATAAGAGACATAGAATTGTGTAACAGAGATAGTCTATGTCTCACTGTGAAAATAAAATGAGACAGTAAATTTTAAATGAGTGTTTCGTTTTGCATGGTAGGTGCCAATACTTTTATGAATTCACAACTTTGAAAATAGCTTGGAGAAATGGCAATAACTCAATACGCCAGTGTTACACTTGCCTGTCCGGCTTGTGAGTGAATTTGCCATACGAAACGAGTCGAAGCAGACAGCCGTACAGAGGGGTTTTAGGAGGAGGTGTGGGGGCCCATCTTACCATTTCCATTTTTAAAAACAAAATTTACTCGTCCGGGGACAAACCCACAAAAGTAAGCCAAGATGGGGAACCCTCGCACAAGAACCCATGTGCAAAAAAATGCAACAAATTCTACCGTTCAAAATCTGAAGCGAGATGCATTGATTGGAAGGGGGGGGGGGGGGTTAAAAAGATCCATCCCTAATGTTAGAGCTTAAATCCTCCAGGATGTGTGGCCCCCAATATGCGCTCTTTCTCTACGTCTATTTTTGCCTGAAGTTCATTCAAGCAGACAAAAAAGATATAAGATACCTTTACAATGTAGGCCTTTCAGCCATATTGTAACGTTTGCTCTGGAAGAAACTAGAATGTATACTTTCACGAAATGGTTTATTTCCGATGAAAAAATCGCCCTAAACTACTACGCTGCCCACGCCCTACTATATATGCTTTAGCAAGTTATCATTTATAAAATATCTGTAGCATTCTTGAGTAAAGTCCTATCTATAAAATAGACATTGCGGAATTTTTAACGAACGATGAGGCCTTGTCTGTTTAAATCAGCTGAGATTTTATCAATACACGCTGTGTTACCGTGTCGGTTAAAAAAACAATAAACAGATTCTTACCTGGAATAGTTTTTCTCCGCAGTATGGTGGGAAATAAACTACTGAAAGTTCGCCGCTGTCAATCAGCTTCTTCAAGCCATTGTGGTCCGTCTTCACGACCTTGTCCGCAATGTTACTGTATGCCGCCGAGATTAACATGCAGCTGACGATCAAATGTACCAAACAAGTCACTGGCTTGCTCATTTTTTGAAGTTTTAAAATAATAATTTTTTATACCTGACTGGTGCCAAGTCAGGTAATGATTCTGTGTTTTGCAAAGGAGGAAAACTTCCGGCACACCCTTTATCCCGCCGCGTCTCAGCAGGACTGGTGTTGTTAAAAGTGCGCTGTTGAACACAGTGTCCACCTAAAACTGTAACAGCATATAGTTGGGAAAATTGTAGGGTTCCGGATTAAATCAGGGTTACTGACCAGTGAAAAGAACTAGGCATCATTTAACTTACAAAGACCTGTTGCGTATGTGAAGGGAGGGGGAGAAGAGAGGAAGGAGTCAAATGAAATATAGAACTTAGAACCCAGAACAAATCTTAAACTAGATTTTTATGTACCCGGACATAACTGTGAAAAACAAGTTTTTGAATTACATCTTTTATAGGGATGGAGAATTTAAAGAACTAGTCAATGTAGTATAAGTGAAATTCACTGCTAGCTTTACCCGTGACCTTGGCACGACCAATGACTGAGGAGATCACATTACCTCAGTTCCACACCATCGCATTTGCTGCTTGTCAAATTTCAAATACCTATTGTTCTTTGACAACATCATTTATTGTTGTAAATGGTACGATGCGCCTCTTGTCAACGCTTGGTAGGAGATAAAGACCGTCTAGTAATACCCGAAATAAACTTGTTTTGCTCTGAGGTCACCATGTATTTAACTCTTCTTGCACGAGGAGCGGGATGAAACTGGAAGATGATGGCGTTAACTCACGGTATCTTTGATGATCTTCGATTGTATCCTGAATGTGTTGGGCAATTCAATCTGTATTAAAGAAAGCAAAGCAGACGGACAAACAGACGGACAGACAGATAATGGTACCTGACCTATACCAGATGAGAAATGTTCATTTCTAACATTTTCTGTCGTAATTGCTTATGAATTAAGGAACCCAAGACGAAAATCTTCGGCAATTACTTATATTGTTCAGCGCCACAACGGCTGTGAACTAAAATGCATTTGTAATATTTCAGCATACCATTTATGTTTGATTGTGTATGGTATCATTGTGAATAACACCTAATTCGGGTAAATGTAAAAGACAAGAATGTAAAATGTAAAAGAAAAAGAAATTAAAGAAATTAAGAGCATATATTTGGCTGCATTAAATAAGATTATGTCAAGTATGTTAGGTCAAACACACACCTGAAACTCCCTACATAAGTATATTCCAGAGGCGCCTTTGACGCGCTTGATAAACATGTTTGTGTACCTTTAAAATTTTTACGTAATAATCCATGTATCTGATGTCTAGATCTTCCGATGCTGTCGGTGCGAATTATTGTTCCTATAATATTTGCTTTTGACTAAAGTAAGTGATTACGTCATCGGACATGGCTCGTTTTCGCGCGCCGCTGCACACGCGCTGAGGGCCATGCACCATATACGCCAATCTTTGCTCTAGGTATCTAAAATAGAGTCTCATACAGCTTTCCAGTTTATATTGAACCCTCCATGGCTTACGCGAAGAAGTTTCATATGTGAGAATCCGTATTTATACACTAAACAATTGAAACAAAAATACATGTGAAAATTTCGGCCATGAGCTTTGTTAACAATATAACATGCCTACGCCTTACAATTTCATTCAATAATCCTGTCAACATGTGTACATGGACATGTACGAGCAGCCAGGGATTTTTTTGAAGTAATTTTAATAGATTAAAATTACAAAACTTTTTTTGAAGAAATATCTGTTTTACGTCTGGATAAACACATCCACCCAAGATATTCTGATAGACTTGATATTTTCTACTTAATATTCTTCAAATTCAATTGAAACTGCCATGATGCGGTAAGAAATCATATGATGTCCCATGTAAAGCGAATTTTTTTTTATACTTTCGTCAATTATTGTAATTAGATGCTGTTTTCTTAAAAATGCAATTTATTTTGACCCCTCCCTTTCACGCTCTTCCTCTCCCAAAATGAAATAAGTAATAACACATTCTTTGATGGATTTCCAAATTTAATGTATTTTCACTTTTGTGTGTAAAAATGGTAGGTATGACCAACACGTATGACCAAAAACGACATGATGCAAAATCAACAAACGAAAAGCAACAAAGATGTCATTTAGAAATGATATAGTTTTTATCGCCGCGAACGGAATTCACAGTTGAGAATTATTTTGATGCAGCTGTCTGCTTGTGGCAGAATTTTAGCCGCTTTCCTTTACTCTGGATGAATGATACTCCATGTTTGATAAACAATGTCGTTTAACACTTGGGTGCTTCAGTTATATGAAAAAGTCTTGCGTTGATTGTAAGCCTTATTGTTTTTAGCGTGCTGGTCATTAAATGTCCTTGACCCCATAAACATAATTGGCTCTGTTGATTGGTTTCTGACAACCTTATGTATCCAGAAATATCTATCGTTTTGCGCTGTTAAAAAGCACAGGACTGAACTAGCACCTATGGCGTATGGCGGCGAGGAGCTGTTATGACTATGTATGATATCACATGTTCTACACGCGTGCACATAAAAAGTTATCACATTTATTACAGACCTTTACACAGTACAGACGCACAGCAAAATGTATTGATGTTGAACTTATATATGTTGAAAAAGGGGACATGAGCTATTCCAGGCGATGACTTACAGAAGTCTCTTTATAAATGTATTTCAAATATGAAATGGAATCGCGCCCAATTTTCTAGCACAAATTTGTATTTCTACTTAACAACGCACTGCTGCCGTGGAGAGTGATGTTTTGATACGCCAAGTTTTTCCTTCTTTGAAAATGGTTTTGAAGTGTAAAAGAGATTATGTTTGGATAAAAAAGCACATTTATATTTTGGAAGATCACATAAATCATCATAACTCGTCTTTAGTCACTTCCTCATAATCTGGTATTCCATCACCATTTTGGTCTTCGTCTAAATAATCTGGTATTCCATCACCATCATCGTCGTCATCTAAATAATCTGGTATGCCGTCGCCATCAGTGTCTTTTTCATCTACGTCCAAAATCCCATCACCGTCGTCGTCATCATCCTCAGAATCTGGAATGCCGTCGTTGTCGTCGTCATCATCTAGGTAATCCGGTATTCCGTCGCCGTCTGTATCTTTTTCCCTGTCATCTGGGATCCCATCGCCGTCATCATCATTGTCTTGGGCATCTGGTATGCCGTCGTTGTCGTCATCATCGTCCAAGTAATCCGGTATGCCATCGCCATCCGTATCGATTTCCTGTTCGTCTGGAATACCGTCATTGTCGTCGTCTCGATCACGATCATCTGGAATTCCATCATTGTCATCATCAGGATCCAAATAATCCGGAATTCCATCACCGTCGGTATCCTTTTCTAAATTATCGGGAATTCCGTCTCCGTCATCATCATTATCTAAACTATCTGGAATCCCGTCACCATCGGAATCTTCTTGGTCATCCGGAATTCCGTCACCATCGTCATCTTTATCTTGTGAATCGGGAATTCCGTCTCCATCATCGTCGTCGTCTAAATAGTCAGGAATCCCATCACCATCGGTGTCTTTTTCCAAATTATCAGGAATTCCGTCGCCGTCGTCATCATTATCTATACTATCTGGAATCCCGTCGCCATCGGAATCTTCTTGGTCATCTGGAATTCCGTCGCCATCGTCATCTTTATCTTGTG